CCACAGATATGGTGTGAACAATTTGGATTTGATCAGGAAGTAGAGAAACAGCTGGGAGTTAAACTGTGTGCGAGAAGCCATGGGAAAGAAGTCACAGCTGTAGGGACGAAGGCCTGCCTGGACTAGGTGTGAAATTTTGGCATCCTTCAACTTTCCTTACACGTCTGCCTTAAAGAACTGTCAGTCCATTTCTTTTTTATCATGCATGGCATGCAGAAGCTTTCCTGGCTGTTCCCTGGCCCAGTCACATGCACACCTAGATTCCCTAGAAGTCTACTCAAGTCTAGAGTGGCAGCAGGCTCTGATGTTAGCTTCTCTGTCCTCTGACACAATTATTCATTCAGTTTACAGAGGACAGGGTCATGGTCTCTGTCATAGTTATGGCCTCAACCTCACATGATGCTTGGGACAAACTGGAACGCAAAGAACATTTCTATACAATGTATAAAGCAGCCAGGGAATGGCCACAGACATGCATTTGTGCTTGTCTTACCTTCTGACTCATCCCTCAAGGAGTGAGTGCTGTTCTGGAATCCTTCTCAGTCTCCTCCTGTCACAAGTTTCTGGACTTTTGTCCCACAGATCTGGAGACTCCACAGAAAACAACAGACTTCTTGTGACAAGTTGGGGCTTAGAAGGAGTTCAGTATCATACACTCTCTTCAAGAGAAGGACAAGATGACAAGAAGGGTTTTAGGTGGGTTTGGGGTTGACTTGTGTGATAGACAAATGGGTAAGGGATATAGAAAATATAGCAGAAAAAAAGAAATGGACTATCAACATGGTGTTTGGGACCTATAATCTTGATATGGATTTCTAAGAAACATCATGTGAAAGTTAGGATTTTTGCAAATTAATTTTTGTTTAAAAATGATTTGCAATTTTCTTCCTTCCTCCCTCCGTCCCTCCCTCTGCCCCTCCCTCTCTCCCACCCTTCCTTCCTCCCTTCCTTCCTTTTTTCCTCCCTCCCTCCCTCCCTCTTTTCCTTCTTCTGTACTTTTCAACTGTGTTTCTTTATGTGAGTGTAACATAAAAGTTTGAGAGACTAGAATTCTTGAGAATCATAGATAAACCAGTGACTGAGTGTCCATGATTCCTTCGGAGCAATGTCCAGGATAGTAGGAGGAATCACCATGTATGGACTCTTCAGGAAAAAATGAAAAATGCCCACCAGCCTTGGGACCAGGAAACAGCAGACCATAATACAAAAGACTACATTTTCATTCTGTATTCTGTTTCTTCCAAAGAGGACTGCTGCCTGAGCCAGCTCCCCTAACAATCCAGGGCTGTAAGATTCCCACTGGCCTCTTCCGAATGATGGTCGCATTTTCCATATACATTTTTATGTCCTGCAGACTAGACAGAATGTATGTTTCAGATGGAAACTTGTTCACGATCCACACATTATTTTATTGGATTTACCTGGAGTTCTCACAGTTCTGTGGATTACACAGTCTTGGTTACTTAAAATATATTCAGCATTGAAAGCTTCCCAGAGGACTTATCCCCAGATTCTCCTTATGTCATCAAACTTGGGGGTCCCAAGTTATGTCTGGCCACCCATTGTTAATAAGCCAATTAAATAACTGAATTAAATGTAGAAAATAGAAAAAGGAGATTTAATCAATGTGGCCACACTGGGAAATGGGACAAAGAGATCCAGTGAACCCCAAAGTCCATCTTCAATATACTAAAGTAAGATTTAAGTTTAAATAGAAGGCCAAAGATTTGTACATCTAAGTAGTCCCAGTCAAGAAGTGGCCCTGTCCACTACTGACCTGTCCTTGCCTCTGCTTCAGTCTTATTCTGGAAAGTGCTCTGACAAGTCAGAACTATGTGAAAACATTTTCCAGGAGATAGTTTCACCTCTGTCAATTGAATTTTTCCTTCTCCCTTTGTAAAATTCCTGGTGGGATGCCAGGTGTTGGTGGCACATGCCTTTAATCACAGCACTCCAGAGGCAGAGGCAAGTAGATCTCTATGAGTTCCAGACCAGCCTGGTCTACAGAGTGAGTTCCAGGACAGCCAGGACTATATAGAGAAACCTTGTCTAGAAAAACCAAAAAGAAAAAAGAAGATTCTTGGGGGTGGAGGGTTCCCATTTCTTTAGGGGATTCATCTGTCTGGACAGCTATACTTACATAGAGTCTGGCTATGGCATGTTGGTGGTTGGGCCGATCATGCCAAAGCATCCCCAACTATATTTTTTCCTAGATTTCAGCAAAGTTTTCTTTCAGGATTTGAGCTTGTCATCTTCTCCTGGCCTTCCATATACCCCATATACTGGTTACTTAGATGCCAACACCCACCTTCTGGCTTGGCTGACCTATCCACTTCTCCCTAGGATGGCCATATGGTTAAGACCCAGTGTTTCCAATCAAAGGACAGAAACTTGAAATTTATTTTAAGAGAAAATGGCTAGCTACTGATAAATGCTGTTTAGCCACGGAATGCTATGGCATTAAATGAGAGAAAGCGATAATCTGAAAGATGATTATCTCGTCCACAAATTGTTCCCAGGTGGAAATGTGTTCCTACACTCTGGGCCACCTTCCTCTCCATTAGGATTTGCTGCACCTGCAGTGATCGTAATTGCAGAGAGGACCTAGATACAACATTGGCATTGTGGGCAGGGAGCACCCGAAGGGGTTGGGGAGGCAGGCCTTCATGCTCCAGCTACAACTGCTCTCTGAGCACTGCTTCCCAGCCGGTGCCCCTGCACCTCCCTCACCCTGCACCTTTCTACTCCCTGCTGTGCTAACAAGGTTTCCATTTACCCCCTTTTAATCAATTAATTAATTCAATATTTATTTGGCACCTGTTAGGCCCCCTGTGAGATAATAGCACCTTAAGCTGTGATCTCATTTAAGTGAATTTGCATTTATTAAGAGACTCTGAAGGCACTGAATGCTTTTAAGTCTCAAAAGAAGTAAATTGCCAGTGGTTACAAGCTTACTAGTTGGCTACCCTAAAACAGGCTTCGAAATACAGCAGCAGGGAAGGCCCCAAACGCAGATTTCCCTGGAGGTAGAAAACTTCAGCATCATGGTCTTACGCTTGCACACATCAGTTTTCATAACTGTCTGGCAAGAGAACATTCCAAATTATATAAGCTTCAGATGCCACAAAATTTGGGCACCAAGTGACTAATCCTACCTTGGCTATAAGAAAGACTGTTATAGCAAAATAGCACAAACTGGGTGATTTGTAAGTGGCAGAAATTTATTTCTTGCAACTTTGGAGGCCAGAAGTCCAAGAGCAAGGCACTAGCAGGTTGGATTTTTGGTCAGGGTCCACTTTCTGGTTCAATGGAGGTGTCTTGTTTCTGTATCTTCACACGGTACAAGAAGTAAAGGAGCCACTTGGAGGCCCCTCGAAGGGCACTACGAGGGCTTCTACCTTCCTGAGGATGATCACTTCCTGATGTCATTCAAGTCACTTAATTTAGCTATTAGCTTGAGCCTGTGTATTTGGGGGAACACAGGTACTTAAACCGTAGAAGTTCTTCCACCGATTGAAAATATCTAGAATAGTTGAATGAGGCCAAAATGTTTGAGTGTCCTGTTTACCAACTCCTAAAATTGTACTGGCACAGAGTAGTAGTACAACAAATAATACTAGTGTAGAATAAGAGCTCAAGAGAATGTATTGGAAGTTAACTGATGTACCAAATACTTACATATGTCTTACATATATGTGTGTGTGTGTGTGTGTGTGTGTGTGTCTGTGTCTGTGTGTACAAACACAAACACATATGATGTACCCATTTTCCCAATACACTGTATAGGTTCAATTAACATTTGGTGAAAAATAATTAGTTTGATGAACATATGCATGAATAAATGAATGAATATGAAAGATGAACAAATTGAAAATTCCTGCAGAATTCCATGCTCTCTATGCCCCACTGTCTTCTCTGTATCCCAGCATCAGGAGTAGCCCAGTAAGAGTGAGCCCATCTGAGGAGCAGAAGAGACTGTTCAGTGATAAAGAGCATTTCCTACTCTTCAAGGTTCTGGGTTTGGTTCTAGGACCCAAATAGAGACTCAGCCTTCACTACAATTCTTGAACATTAAAAGCAACTTTTTTTTTTTTTTTTTTTTTTTTTACCATCATGGGCACAAGACACATATCCGAGACACACAGATGTATGCAAGCATGAAATAAAAATTATATATGAAATAACAATAAATCAATCTTAAAGAAAAACACAACTTAAGCGTTCTGGAGTAGCTAAGGCATTTGCCTTACTGTGTGTGGTTCCTAATCAGGCTGTTTACAAAGGTAAAGTTGGGTAGAAATACCATACTGCCATCTGCAAATGTAGAGAATTTGAAGTAGAGATTTGGGATCTGTTCCCACTTCACCCACCAGAACATTTATAATAAAGTACTGTTTAATGCAAAATTATATTCTTAGGGAAAAAAAACATGTTTGTAAAACCAACCCTATTAACACCATTTCTTTTAGTTACAGTAACCATTAAACAGTTATGTATTTAACCTTTGTAGTCTTAGAGCCTGCTAAAATGTCTAATTAGTTAATTAGAAAAATAATTATGTGCTACAAAGGAGAAAATTGTGTATGGATATATAAAACTGGGTTTAAAATAAACTTCTATTTGGAGGCTGCAGTCATATCTCCTTTGTAGTCCTTAAATGGTTTTTCACAAAAAATTTTTCAGGGTTTCCCCAAATCCTGCTTACCTATCCAAATCATTGTTGGACTTGTGTTTTATCAAACAGTATTGTGTATAACAAACAGTATTGGGCTTACCTACCAAAATAATTGTTGGACTTGTGTTTTATAAGAGACTATTTCCTTGGATGTCTTTCAAAAGACACATGTAGTGGGATATTAATTTATAAGATCATGAATCAATTACAAGTGAACTGTTTTCCAGAACTTTCTTTTCTGTACTTATGATAATCAGTTTGTAAAGAATTCTACATGGACAGAGACATGTCTGGTGCCAAGATCTTTATTGACAGGCTGCTCTTTTGTTTCTCTTTGGCACTTCATACCATTATCATTTATATCCACCGCTGAATAATGAGAACACATGGCATAGAAGCAACATCTTTTTCTTTTTCTTTCTTCAAGACAGGGTTTCTCTGTTTAGTCCTTGCTGTATTGGAACTTACTTTGTAGATGAGGCTGGCCTTGAACTCAGAAACTCAGACATTCACCTTCCTCTGCCTCCCCAGTGCTATGATTAAAGGTGTGTGCCACCCCCGCCTGGCTAGAAGCAACTTCTGAATGCAGGATGCAGTTTGGCTCTGGGTACTTGAGCATTCTCAGGTCACAGAGAGCAGTAATCCTTCCAAATCTGGAGACAAAAACAATTGATGTAATATACTTCCAAATAAAGTGCATTTTATGTGGCGTAATGCCTCAATTCCCAGTCAGTTTTCTCATCCCATGCATACCCCTTTGACTCCCACCTTCCTATATGATAGCCTAGATTTTTAAAGCCCAGTCAGTTTTCTCATCCCATGCATACCCCTTTGACTCCCACCTTCCTATATGATAGCCTAGATTTTTAAAGCACAGGTGAATTTACATCTGTTCACCTTTAACTTTGACCTTGAAGAGAAACCTCAAGAACCTCCTTAGTGTGTTTCCTTGCCTCACTTAAAGGTGATCCACAATATTGACAAATATTCTCAAAATGGCACTTCCTACCCAAGCCAGTAGTTTCTCTGCAGTGAATTACAGAGAAAATAAAAGCCACTGAAGAAGGTGACATGTGGGCTTCCTAAGAAAGCATCTAAAAGGACAAAATCCTCAAGGAGGAGAAAAGGTGATTCTCCTGTAGGCTTCTGTAGACCTCAGAAAGGCAGAGGCAGGCGAGGAGGCGCAGGTGACAGATTCTGCTCTGGCCCATGGTGGCAGGATATGGTTATTGCTTTGGCAGTTGCATGATTTGTTTTTGAGGACACAGCTGATTGTAAATAGTGGGACAATTCAGAGGTTAAAGTCTCACAAAAAGTGTTCTTTGATCCTGTCTTCCCAGATTCCTAGCTACAACTGCAGAGAAATGATTTGATTATACTGGGCTTTGGTTTCTTGAACTTTGAAGTGGGAATACTAATTCCTACTTGGCCATGCTGTGAGAATAGACAATAACATGTGCCAAGTGCTTATCACAGTGATTGATTAATATACAAGCACCAAATAAGCAGCACCTTTTAGATGACTGTCCTTCCCCTTCTACTAAGGGTGAGGTAGCATACAACAGTTCTAAGTGGTAAATAAAGCAATATCCCCTCAGAAGAGGACACAGGGAAACTATTATGGACCAGATACAGTAAAAATCGCCTGTGTAGTTTTGGAACCAGGGGTAACACCAACACAGGCCATGAGGATGAATCCATAAAAGGATGAGAGCCTAATTGCAATAAAAGTTCCATTTCATTACTGAAAGTTTTTCCTGACTGACGCTGTTTGAATCCATTCTAGTTAGATTCTCATAGTTCAAGGCCCAGTGGACTGAATGTTGATTGCCAGCCACAGACACATGCAACTTGCTTTGGTACAGGTATTTTGGTCAAATAGTTTGAATCTTTCTCCCAGTCTCTACTCTAGAAATAAAACTGTTGGGTTCTCTGTTTTTCACTCTGTTTTTATTTTTCTGCATACTCAAGGTTAGCTAACAGACATGGAACAGTTCATTCATGTCATCTGGTAAGAATATTCTCTTTCCCATGTTCTTTGAAGCTGTGATTTATGAATGAATTTCATTTATCCATCCATCCTATAAATACTGAACACGTACTATATGTTACAGACTTTCCTATGTGCTGATATAAAATGATGAGCAAAGGATTCTGGTCATAGAGGTTATTTTCTCCTGGAAAACAAAACAAAACAAACAAACAAACAAACAAAAAACAACCCACAAATAATTCCTGCAGTAAAATGGTTTAATTGAGAACAACAATTCCAGAATATTTTAATCTCTTGAATCCTTGATTTGTGCATCAAAAGATTTTTTTTTATCCTAATGTTAACTCAGCATAGAATTCTTTAGTCTTCCACCATTACATTGGATTAAACAAAATTAAATTAAGGAAACCTCTTAGCACAGGATTTGACATGTAGTAAATACTTAAAAGATGGTATCATTTATTGTCTTCATTAAGATCACCATTACTAACTTTTGTTTGTGTAAATAACTAACTTTAAGTTATCCTGATATGCAACTGTGTAGATGTAACCAACCGTCTTATTAAATAAGAAACACAGAAACAATGTAAAAGAGAAAGCCGAGAAGTCAGAGCTCAGAGCTAAAATCTCACCCTTCCTCCTGCTGTCCCAGCTTCGCGAAAAAAGAGCTACTTCCTGTCGGTTCGTATTTTTAAAGTATGTTGTTCTGCCTTCTCATTGGTTGTAAACCCAAACACATGACTG